GGGACATGGGTAGAGGTGGAGGGGTGAATTGAAAGGGTGGAAATGATACAAATGCCACACTCATTTATGACATTAAAAAAACCAATAGGCTGGAGAAATGGCTCTGTAGTTAAGAGCACTGGCTGCTCTGGTAGAGGACATAGGTTTGATTCCCAGCACCCACATGGCAGCTAACAACTGTCCATAACTCAGTTCTAGGGAAATCTGACTCCCTTTTCTGACCTCCATGGGCATTGCATGACATGGGTGCACACTTGCATACATGCAGGTAATACACTCATACACATAAAAGATAAATAAAATATTAAAAATTATAATAGTTATATCTATTTTGTTCATTATAGCCATAGCGTCAAGTATCTTGGAGGCACTCAATAAAATTTTATTTTATTAAAATTAAAAAATCTGGATCGTGAAGAAAGATGGCCCCTTTAATAGCTGGAAATAGCAGGCTGGGAAAAGAATGGAGGGAAGCATGAGTGAAATAGACAAAAACAGAAACATAATCAAAAGAAGAGGTATTTATCCAACTACATGCTGTTGTCTAATGTTAAAGTAGTTGAAAAAAACTAGGAGAGCATTTAGTTTCAGAGTCCACTCAGAATAGAAGAGATCATATTAGGTCAGAATTATATAAAGTGAAATACCAGAATAGGCCACGCTCTCTATTCACATGGTAGGAAACCCCTGTAGAAGGAAGTCATTGAGGGCTCTGAGGTAGGTGTGGGTGAAGTGAGGCAGAGGACCTGAAGGCTGAGCCACTTGTCCTTTAGGCTGAGTATGATAGAGATGGCAGGACTGAGATCAGGAACCTGGTTCAACAGGAGGCAAAGACAGATTGCTGGTATTGGTGTCAGTGATGGTCTGTAGCAATGAGTAATACAGGCTAGAGAAGGAGGTGTGAAAGCCACAACCGAAACATTCTTTCCTGTGTAGGAACTTGCCCAGCATAGTGAGAAAGTTGGGGAGTGAGGAGTGGTCTGCTGACTTCGGGAGTGATTATTTGTACCCCCAATATTTAAATGCTTTAATGTATTTAATTTCCAGTTTTGAGTGTAATATGTTGTTATTTTCCTAAATTGATATTTTAAATTTATTTTTTGAAAATTTTATGGATGTATATATTTTGACCATATTCAACGCCCCCCCCACCACTGCTCCTCTCTCTCCAACTCCTCCTGGACACCTTGCCCCACAATACATCCTCCTTCCAACTTCATGTCATTAAAAAATTTTGACAATTAGTTCAATTAGTGCTACCCCCATGCATGGGTGTGAGACTACCTACTAGAGCCTGGGTAGCTGTCCTAGTTGGCATTAGCTGTCAACTTGACATGGTCTAGAGCCACCTGCAGAGAGAATCTCAGGTGAGTGAGTGCTTAGATAAGACTGACCTGTGGGCATGTCTGTGGGGAATTGCCTTATCAATGGATGTAGGAAGACCATGCCCAAACGGGCAGCACTATTCCTTTGACAGGTGGCCCTGGGCCATATAAGAAAGCTAGCTAAGTATGGGTCTGCAAGCAGTGTTCCTCCATGGTTTCTTCAAGATCTTGCCTGAGTTCCTGCCTTGACACCCTTCAATGATGGACTATGATCTAGAAATGTAATTGAAATAAATCTTTTCTCCCCCTAAGCTGCTTCTGGTTAGAGTGTTTTTAGCACAACAGAAATGGAACTAGAACACAAATCTACGAGCAGTTCCACGCCTGAAGAAAAACCCTTCTCTCCCTGAGTAACTATCACCTGCCAATCGTTCCTCAGTTAAGGTGTTGGGGCTTCAGTTAGGGGGTGGGGTCTTGTATGCCCGTTCCCAACCATGCTGGAATGTTGACTGGTTTGATCTTGTGAAGTCTTACGCGGAGAAGAACAGCTGCTGTAAGTTCAGGAGTACAACAGTCCTGTCACGTCTGGAAGACGCTGATCGGCAGCAATCCTCCTCTACCTCCAGCGCTCACAACTTTCTGCTCCCTCTTCCGTAGTGTTTCCTAAGCCTTGGGGGTGTGAGGTAGGATGTTATAGATGTCTATTTAAGATTGAGCGCTAGAGTAGTGCTTATGGAAACAGGCCGGGAGAACTGACAAGGAGACGAACACAGAGTGCCTCGGAACGGGAACGTCTCGTCTTTCTGTGTTCCAGGGATGCATGAACCCTTGGCGCACACACGTTAAGTGGGAAAAAGTTACCGGGGGGAGCAGCAAGCTGGAAATCCATAGCTATTATTTCTGTGGCCTCTAGCTACAAAAGCTAGCAGGTGAAGATAGTCTAGAGGCCCAAGGTGGAGAAAAATGACATTTTAACATTTTTGTCAGGTAGGCAATTTAAAAATAAACTTGAATTCAATGTATACATTAATGCTAGAGGTTGTGTTATAACGATGTGAAAATACCTTCTTTTCAATGGCAGTTAAAAAATGAAAAGCTATGTTGTAGGGGTGAGGAACCATATATAGAGCAGCATATGTGACTCTGACAGCAGCCACAAAACCATTGAAAACAGACCAAGACTGTGCCCTGCAGAATTAGTACCGTAACCCATGTCAGAGATGTGCTATTATCCTAATATCAGCTTTTGGATTCTGTCCAGTCCCATTAGTGATTCCCATGTTGATTACTCTGTTACTCGTGAATGTTAATTGCTTCTAAATCTCTTTGGATATTCAGATGCTTGGGGAAAAAATTCTGACTGGCAAAGGTGTGAGTTTTATTAATGTGGAAGTAAACAAGAAATCTGTTTAGAGACCTGAGTGAAGTGTCTGTGACTGAAGACGCTGTAGGCAGCAGAGGTGACAGCTTTCTTCCCATGCCTGTCACATGGTGGTGGTGTGACAGTGGAGGGTAGAGCGCAGCCTTGTATATACCTGGGGTGTTTGTTCAAAGCTGGGATGCTTATGCTTAAGCGCAGATGATCAAATTGTTTTCCCCAAGGATTCCTTCTTTGTTTGGTATGAAATGGTGACCTTGAGACCTTTGAGACAAATTTTTGCTTAGTAAGTGCTGTTAAATCAGAAGATGTAAAAATATGGATATGATTTGGCCTATCACCCTTGCATTGATCTCCATGGCTTCTGAACTAGCAGGAGTCTTGGAAATCTGCATCTTAAGCATCCTTATTTCACATATGGGGAAATAAAGGGCCAGGGAGAAGAAGGGGTGAGGCCTTCTGAGAGGGTCATGCAGAGCTGGCCAGGCAAGAGGGCACCTACCTCCGATCAAGAAAAGAGAAAATGGTGAAGACAGGATGTTTGCTACACATTCCGAACCATTTTACTGAGTATTGGTGGAATTTTTTTTCTTTTTCGGGGTGGAAAGATCTATTATCCAGTATTGAAATTCATTCATGGGTAATTACAACAGTGTTCCAGTGAGAGAGGAGGTTGATGAGAAAGAAGGAGAACAGTATTATCTGTGTTCTGTTGATTAACTCTATATACTGTTTGTTTTGATCTTAGAATTTAATGGAAGCAAAAATTCCTGCTTGATGGGAGCTTTTATTCTAGTGGGGGGCATAGAAAAATAAAGAGATGGACCATCTAACACTAGGGCATGGGAAGTCTTAGGAAGAAAGTGGGAGAACAGGGAGGGGGCAGAGTGTGTGTGATGGGTTGCAGCTGCTTTCGAGGTTGTCAGAGGAGGTTCAGGGAATGGGACTTGGGGCAGTGAGCCTATGAAAGAGGGGGGTTACCCAGAGTGGTGCTGGATCAGGCTTTCTTTAAAGGAGAGGAACAGCAGGAAGAGGGGAGTCTGGGAAAGTACTTGGATACACGAGGAAGAGAAAAGAGTTGGCAGAGATGATCAAGGAGAAGAGAATGGGAACTGCGACCTGACCCATGAGTGCTGGAAAGGTTCTGAGGCGCATACTTTTTAGGAGACCTGTCTTTTAGCATTTCTGAAATCCCACATGGTATAGACCATCTGTAGAATTCAAACTTATCTTTCTTTCTGTAGAATATTCCCTGAAGGACATTGTCTTTCTGAGACAAGCGTCCACAGTTGCCCAGGAGTGTCTAGAAACTGAAATCTTTCTGGACAGTTCCTGATCATGGTGGCTTAATAGTTAATAAAATCACCGAACCACAGCGTTAAAATTTCTAGATGGTGGGATCTTTGCTATCTGAGCTCAAATCCTCCAAGAACCCACATGCAGTGATAAACTTGCATATAGTAAGAACCCAATTAATATCAATTATTTTTTCAATGCATGAATAATGGTCTGAGAGTGAGAGAAAGGATGGGATGTCCTAGAAAGATCTGTTAAAAATACACCCTTCTAAAAATGTGGTTGTGAGATTGCATTGGAAGCATTCTGACTTCCTTGGAATATATTTTAAAGACAAGTCCATATGCTGAAATGTGAACGTAAGTGTGTAGCAAACTGAACAGTAGTAACATTATTTTTCAGGCCAAATTTTAGTTGGATGGTTGCATTTTGCCTATCTAATTTTCCCTCCATGTTTTAAATGGAATGTGAGAAATTTTTCCAACCCTTTCATTGGTATTAAAGGGATGTCGGTATCTGGGTTCATAAGAACATGGGACTTCCCTCATCACCCTTTGAGCTCAGGTTACTGTGTGTAAGTTGAGATTGTGGTGAGAATTGCATGGGAAGTATCTGTCTTCAAGGGGAGGATGGGTGATCATGATGCATTGTGATGGGGAAGACCAAAGCAGCAATTCTTATCCATCTGCCTTCCTGAAATCCTTCCCATAAGAGACCTGTAATGTCTATTCCCCCCTTACCATAATAGACCTGTAATGTCTATTCCCCCCTTACCATAATAGACCTGTAATGTCTATTCCCCCCCTTACCATAAGAGACCTGTAATGTCTATTTCCCCCTTACCATAATAGACCTGTAATGTCTATTCTCCCTTACCATAATAGACCTGTAATGTCTATTTCCCCCTTACCATAATAGACCTGGTATATCTATTTCTCCTTGTATTTCAAAATCCCCATCTGCAAAGTGGGGGTAACACAAACTTGCCCTCTACCTTTCAGGTTTTTTGCGAAAATCAGTGAACTAATATTGGTAAAATTGGAGCCCCATGGATGAAGGGTACTTTGTAAGTATAACACATTATTTTCACATTATTTTCTATTGCTCTGAAGTATAAATATCAGATGTCTGCTTTTGCCATATCAGGATTTGGTAGCACTAGGCTATGTACCCAGATATTGATAATCTGACTGTCTTTGAGGAATTTAATGTTTCTGAACTTCCAACTGTTCTGTTAATATGTTGGATATAGAAAAACCAACTTTCTCTACAAAAAGTAAATTCATATAATGTTGATTATTGTGTAAAATTGTATATTGTGTAAAAAAGTTGCTATAACTGCTCTGTGTAAATGCAAGGTGTTTCTTCTCTTTCCTCACTTCTCTCTCTTCCTTTTCAATTGCATTTCACCTATGTTTTGAGTTGTCAGTTTATATATTATAAGAAGGGCTGATTTCCATGAGGGTGAATTATGCCTTGATGACTGTCAGTTAGATGGTTTGCTAAGTATTGTGCTTCCAGACATGGAGAGAGGAGAGGAGGCCAAACAGAATGGTGAGCTGGGTGCAGAGCACCCCTCTTGCACCCCTGGAGTCTGGGTGACTTGTAGTTGTCGCCTGTCCACAAGATGGCGACATAGAGAGGGGCAGAAGTAGAATCGTCCTCCAGCAACTGCTGCACTTGAGTTTCCCCATCTTTTAATTTTCCTGGATCAACCAGCATTTTAGAGTTGTGTATTTGACTCTGGACTGTCTGGCTATATGTTTTTTTTTCGTTGTTATTGGTTCATTATTTATTTATTTATTTATTTATTTATTTATTTATTTATTATTATTTTTGACAGGGCCTCTCTAGTCCCAGCCTGCCTGGAAGTCACTATGTGGACAAGGCTGGCCTCAATATCACAGGGATCTGCCTGCCTCTGCTTCCCAAGGGCTGGGATTAAAAGGTTCAGGCAGATACCATTCCTGGCATCATTTTTTTTTTTCTTTTAAAATGGTAGATGGCCCTGTTTAAAAACCCCAAGCCCAGAGGAATTAAAAAAAAAAAAACAAACTTATTGGAGCCCATTTTAGTGAGTTCCTGGGATTCACTCACGAGGCTGTATGAGCCACATCTGTCAGCCAATTCTAAGGGTTCTGTCCTACTGATGTTTGAGTGCCTCCAGAAGGGCAGAAATGTTGCCAACACTAATGTTTTGGAGTTGATGACAAGTCCATTCTCTAGGTATTTCCACCGTCAAATCCCAATTTCACTATTCATCCTTACAAAGAACAAGTTTTCCTCTTTAAAAGTGAAATCTTTTCAAATATTTATGGTGGCACCTCTCAGGTGTAGTCTTTTGGGTTCAGTTCCCTCCAACATTATCATGATCCCTGAAGCCTGCCCCTTTGGAAAGGTTCTCAACTGTCAATATGTTTCTTAACAAGCTGCACTGAGAATCTATCTTCTCCAGGCCCTACTCTGCACCTCAGAGCCAAGAGATCTAATCAAAGGTAGAAGACATCAAGCTCAGAAGATATTGCCTGGGATCACGTGGCCCTTGGATTGCTTTGAGTACCAAGACGGCAAAGCCCATATCCCTCCGTGAGGCAGATGACTGACAGGGAGAAAGTTGTTTTGGTTAATAATACAATCTGCTTGCGTCCTGTAGACACAGCAGTAGACTGCTAATTCATTAGAAGTGAATTAAGGTTGTTTACCAATGTTTTAAAGTAACTGTCAGAGTGAAAAAAAAGTTCATACTAAATGAGACCACTCACTTACCTTGGAGTTGTTGTTTATTTTAAGCTGAGTGCATAAATAATATATTGAGATACGAAGGGTGATTTCAAGCATTAGAACACGAAGCCTCCTGTTTACTAACTGTCATTGGGCTGAAGAGAATTTAAACAGCTCTGAACCTTTTTGTCTGTGGATACAAGGCATGAAATTAACTTTCATTTCATAGTTAGCAGAAATCATGATTACAGCATCTTGTTGTCGTGTCTCCTGCCGATCTGGATCTTTTTTGCTATGCAAGAAGAGCCTTGGCAGCAGAATGCTTCTCATGTCTCATTTGAAACAAGACCGCTTCAGCACCCCCCCCGACCCCCAAATAAGCAGGGACCTGTCTGAACCACCCAGCCTGCTTTTCTGGATAGAAAGAGGAGTAATGGAAACATGCTAACCTAGGTTCCAGGGGTTCATGTTCTGACTGCTGGTGGCCCTGTCATCTGAATCTGTAGAATGGGAGTAATAACATCTACTTGCACAGCTTCATGGAAAGATGATGAAACTCCAATGAGGTAATTGTTCCATGGCTTTGAGAAGTATCATCAGGCATTGTAGTTCAGAGACATGGTAATGTTATTAAGGCTGGATGCTAAAAGAAAAAGCCGGGTTTTAAATGATTTACATGCATTAACTCATTACACCCCACTTATCCTGTGGCATAGGAACTGTTAGGATTCCAGTCTTACCCTTCCCAAATGGAAACACAGGGAAGCCCTGTGACTTGTTTCATCATTTTGTGGCTGATTTCAAACATCAGGCAGGTGGGTCCGTGTTCTTTACTGTTATGGGTTGGGGACGAGGACTGGGCTTTTCTCTGTGTGATTGTGCCTCTTAGTCACTTACAAGCAAATGAAACATCATGTCTAAATGCCTGGACCACATTCAGGCTGAGAAAATGCAAGAACAGCTTGTCCATCAGCAAGGCGGGTACCTGGTGTGTAGGGATGTAGCAGACTGTATGGGTTAATTATGTTTTATGTGTAAAGAGCCTGGTGGTTCTTAGCTGAAAAGCTCTACATGAAAGGACCTATTACTTGTAATGCCTTCAGAAACAAGAAATTTAATTCACTTTTTGCCCCCCTAAAAGTGCAATAGCCTGTTTTGGAGTATAGGGAGAGTGTTGGAGAATGAATAGAAAAATATACAGAATGTTTAATTTTGCATGATTACATTTCATATTTTCCAAAGTAACAGAGGCAAATAGGAATGCACAGCAGCATCACAGAACACCTTTTTTGATGCTTCGATGGAGTGCTCTGGGCTTCACAGTCTGATCCATGAACGCTTTGAGATAAATCCATATGAAACAAATGAACAGAAATGCATGTATCCTCACAGCTCTGAAAACATGCAATTAGCACAACTGCTTTCTAAATTTATATTTACACTGTATGTATTGGAATTACAAAAGAGAAAAGGGTCCAGAGTGGTTAATGGAAATAAAAATGATGTGAATTAGTAGAAATTTCTCCCCTGAAATCTGCTTAGTCTGTACCAGGGTTAAAATTTGGAGTGGCAAGCATAGGGGTCTTGCTTGCTTTGGATTTCTGAATGAAGTAGTTCAAAAATAGGATCATTTCCATAATCCCAGAAAAATGGATGGGCTCCTGAGAAGTAATCAGCTGGGGAAAGAATAAATTCTGTGCTTCCAAATTGCAAAAGTCTCAGCAACTGCTGCTGTGCTCTTGCTCTTGTTAATACAATAAGATAATTGCATAATTAAATACACTATGGAATTTCAATAATTGGAAACTTTGTTTTCCCATCACAACATGCAACTTGCTGATGCTGAAAAGCACCCACAGTATTTTCAGATTGTTCTTTCCCATCACATCCTCTGCAGCGTCCTGCAGCTCCTCTCCCAGTTACGAGACACTTCCCTTGCAGGTTCATTTTAACTGGTTGTATTCGAGCAGGATGTCTCCAAAGCCTGACCTGCTTGCCTTGGCAATGGGAATTGAGGGCTATTTTTCTGAGAGCACCCTTGGTGCTATTGACATCCTTCCACATAGCATGGGTGAAAACTGACCCGAAGGTGCATGCCATTCCACCTGCCCTCCCCTCTGTATAGTTGTAGCTTAGTGGAGCCTGTTGGGAGTCAAACCTGGTATGACTTTTTGGTTATGATAGTGGAAAAAGCATTGAGTCTTTGCTCTTTGCTTACCTATAAAAGGAGAAGTGCAGTACCAACATCTTGAAGTAGGTGCAAGATCTAATTGAGCTGCTTTATGGAAGGTGCTTAAGAAGCACTGGGTGAACGTAAGCCTCCGGTAAATGGTGGCTGGTATAATTAGACAATCCAGGGAGAGTCTTCATATTCATGTGAAGTGTAGCAAATCTTTGAGTAAAGAACAAGTAAGTAGGCTTACAGTTTTACCCATCCAAGAAATATTTATTGAATCCTTCATGGACCACTATTCTGGATGTCAAAGAAACAAAGATGAATAATATCAATCCCTGACTTGCAATAGTTCAGCTGAATTGGGAAAATAGACATGTAAATTCATGATGAAGCCAATGATGATCATGGCGATGATGGCAAAAATAATATATCAAAATGATGCCTACTGGATAGCAAGGATATTTTAGGTGTCAGGAACTGTCCTGTCATGGGTGTCTCTTGTACCTCATAAATAAGCAGTTTGGTTTACTACTATTGTGTTTGGAATTCAAAGCAGTTTAGTAGGACAGAATTGGTTCCTACCACAGGGTACCTCAGCATACAGTAGACTCAGAAAGTGAGTGAGAGAGGCACAGGTAAAATGGGATTTAAGCTGCTTTCTTCTAGGTGTCGGAAATGCTTGCTGGGTTAGTTGATGCAAATATAGATGCATGCTCTGTTGTGGAATGCTAGGGTGAACCCTTGGCAAAGGAGGTCTGTAATGGGTCAGATCCAAGAAAGGCTTTTGCCCTAAGGATCATACAAGTGCTTCTTGAACATTTCTGTCTTCAGTGCCTTGCTTCTCTCCCCCAGCATCCACAGCTGCTGAATGTGTTGATTTCACATGAGTTCATGTACAAATGTGCTTTATTTGTATATGCATATGAACTCACCCTTAAGTCTTATTTTGAAGAATTTAAAATCCACAGAAGAGTTGAAGGAATAGTCCAAGGGACATTATCTATCTTTTCTACCTGTATCTACCAATTTTCTCCATACTGTGTCTCTTCCTAATGCACATGACTTTGAGCTTTGTTCTAATTCCCAGCATTTTACATTTTCCCATCACAGTTCATCTTCCAGATAATACTTCCATCTCCTGACCCTGAACATAATGTTAAATTTACCTT